GGGGGGGGGGGGGGGGGAATTCTTCCCAGCTCTGGGAGCCATTATTTTATGGCTGAGAGCCCATGAGCCATCACAGGCTTACCCAGGTCCTCATCTTTAGCCCAAATCTATCAGACCACAGTCTCTGCCTATTAGCTCTAATATATCTGAGCTGCTGCTTTTTCCTGTCAATTGCTGTGCTCCTTTAAAATCTGAGTAACAATCAAATGTCATACCGCAACTCTATATTAAAGGAAAGAAACTCAGGGGCAAAAATGTGGCAAACCCATCTTGAAGAACCTGATAGCGATAGTTATGGTTATTGAGGGGAGATTTCCTATGTCTAAATCCTCCTTGACAGTTCATTATTCAGGTTGTTTGTTGCAATGGCAATGGATGTCATTCAAAGGCAAAATGTGGCAGTGAAAAAATGAGTGGCAAAAGTCTCCTCTGAGAGTATTTTCTAACACTTTTCTTCAATTCACAGAATTGATGACTGCTTCTGTGCTTCTCGGAAACTGGACGCAGTAGCCACAGAAGCAAAATTCAAGCAAGACCTAGGGTTCCGCATGTTGACCTGTGGCCGAACAGATCTGGTCAAGCAGGCCATATCTTTGCTGGGTCCGGATGGAATTAACAGCATGAGTGAACAGGTACAAAGAAATATAACCCATGTAGAAAAAAAGACTTTTCTTTTTTAAAAAGTTTGAATGTAAGTATTAATTTTCAGAATAGCTTGAAACAAACTGCTTAAGGAGAATGAGCTCCTTTTACTTGGATGGGTTGCTTATGTGGGGAGTATACTATAGATATATTTATGATTAGTAATTGGTAATGTGGATGGAATGTTTACTTAAAATAGTTCTTGGGAGCAACTGTACATCTCTTGTGAAACCTTTGTGGCCATCGGAACTCCAGGAATCTCACTGCCAAATACCAGGAGCAAGATTTCCTATCCTTTTTTCATCAAAGGACAAATAATAATATTGTATACACTCTTCATATTTGTTTTTAAAATTTCTAAAAAACAAAACAAAAACTGTAAGAACCCTGAAGCACTTGGGAAAACTCGGGCCTACCAAAAAAAAAAGGCCTTTTTGCTGAAGGTGGGTTGGCAAATGACTTTTTCTTGCTCCATCCGTTTATTCTCTCTTTGATGTGCACACCTCTCCTCAAACAAACAAACAAAAAGCAACTACTTTTTCCCCCATTCACATGTTTGTGTAGTGATTAATTATCCCTTCCTGACTACATTTCTGCATAACCTTGTCAAAGAAACACTAATCACAAGGGATGTCTTGATCAGCTGCACAGAGTATTTCAGATTAATATAAATTTGCAGCTAGAAGTCTCTGTAGTGAAGAGTCAGTTAATCTAGTTTTCCTCCAAACAGGGCAGCATTTCCCTAGAGCTAGGAATTCTCGACAGAGCTGCCTGGCATTTCATTTCAAATTAAATCAGTATATATTATGGGCATGCATACCAAAGCTTCTACTCCTCCAATTGCAGTTAGTAGTTTTGCCAGTAAGGATAAAGTTCCAGTCTAACCTGTTAAAATAAGCTCATGAAATTGCTGGAGGAATACTTTACAAAATAAATACCCAACATTCTGATTGTTTGTAGATAACAGTAGAGTGAAGTCCAAACTCTGTGAAGCTTGTGAGATTAAACCATCTTGGTGAAAAACCAACCATGGTAATTAAAAATTAATAAACAGCTTTTTAAAAGAATCCTTTACTCATCCATATTTTAAACACCCCACATCTTTTTTTCTAAATAAAATTTACCCCCAAAAAATTTTTGATGAAGTAAATGAGCAAACATAGACACACAAAGCAACTTCACACTCATAAAGACATGGACAATCGTAAACACTTCTTGTATACTTGTTGCATTTTTTTCTGCCCATCATGCTAGTCATTCAGGTTTGCTGCATAGTTATCCCCTTTCCATTGTTCCTCATAATAAGCCTAGGTTAGTTAAGAACTGATGACTGCCTGGCTGAATAAACATTTGAACCTAAATCCTTCTTCCTCATGGTCTGATACTGTACTTCTAAATGAGTGTCTTTTGCGTGATGTTGTGCAACCCTTTCCTTTTCTTTAATGAAATGCATTATTGGGACCTCTCAACGAAATGTACACGTTAACATTTTACACAAGATAGAGTATGATTTGCTTGTCCACTCTTCCACTGTGGGTATAGCTTCTTCGGCTCAGGTACACATTTTAATAGACAGCTGAGGCAGCAGCACTGAGTTAACCTTCGTTGAGCTTGGAAAAGCTGAGTAATATCAGACCTGGTTAATGCTTGGATGGGAGATCACTAGGCAATTCCAGGACTGTAGACTGGAGTGGAAATTTGAAAAAAAAATCTCCTGGAAGAAGGCAGTGGCAAATCAATTTCATAATAATTGTAATTTTTAAATAATACTAAGTCTCGTACAAATCTAGTTTTATTTGCAGTAAGAATGCAAAAGAGAATGCTGCAGTCCTATGGCCTGGTCCTTCGAGAAGCCCCATAAATGAATAAGTGAAATCTACTTGTACAGTGACGCTATAAACTATGATGTACAAACCACAATGTCTGAATCCACATAGCCTTTTATGCCATATTATGTCTTAGTGACAAGTAGAAAACAACCAAAACAGCATTTTTTAGCCAAACCAGCACCAATTATTCGTGTGTCTTATGTGTAAGACACGTAGGGTATAAATATCATGAGGAAAATCCATCCATGTTCATATATTCACCTACATGAATATTTGAAAATAAGAATGTAGCCATCAAACCAGTAGATAAGATGGAGACAGTCAAAGGTTCACTGCAGCATCAGCTGAGAACACAGCATAATGCTGCAGTGAGGGAAACATATGTTGATACTGCAGTAAAGATGTCTGAATGGCAGCAGTTATACTTAGGTGTTTTAAATGTTTTAAATATGCTGGATTTGAAAATATAGGAAACAGTGTATAGGACTATAGAAAACAGCTTAGTCAACCATTTTATTTATTTTATTTTATTTTATTTTTACTTTATTATTATTTTATTTTTTTATTTAATAAACTCTGCTGCAATCTGACAACTCTTGGTGGCTTACAAAGTACACAATATAACAAGATCCACTGTATACTTAAAAATGAACTGCAACATCATTAAAAACGCCAGAGAGAGAAAAAAATAATAAGAACAAAAAATAAAAGTAAGGGATAGCACAAGAATTAAGAGAATGCCCTCTGGAATAATTCTGTTTTCAGCATTTTCTTGAAAGCCAACAAGGAGAGGGTGAATCTGACCTCCATAGTGAGGTCATTCCAGAACATCAACACTGTCACAGAAAGGCAGTGCCTTCTAGCCTTGGTCGCCTCATCTCCTGGAATTGTAAGGCTATAAGCAGCTTCTCCCTACAAGGCTAGTGGAAAAGTCCTGTTGCTAAGGCACACACGAAATTGAGCTGTCCCTTGCTTTTATACTTAGTATTCATTTTTCACTGTGCTACTCAAATCAGCAGGCTTTGTTTTACATAAATATGGGTTTAGGTGCCACTGGACTTTTAGCGGGGATTGGGTTAGAGGTATATATTATATTTCAGTTAAAAGGATCCAATGAGCACTCTGTTTTTAAAATTAAAAAAAGCAAAGTCATCTGAATCAAATAATATCAGATAAAACTTCTCTGAATCAAATAATATCTTTGTGGACTGCTAGCTGCTTGCACATGGTCTGGTGTCATGCTTGTTTTATATAAGCTTGTATTTAAGCCCTGGCCTGTTCACTAGGACTTCACCTGAACAAAAATCAATGATTATGAATACTGTTGTCCACACAGGGTATGACTCCATTGATGTATGCTTGTGTGCGGGGTGATGAGGCCATGGTTCAGATGCTGCTGGATGCTGGAGCAGATCTAAATGCTGAGGTGAGACTGTTCTTATGATTGCATATGTTCTGGGAAGGCAGGTTAAAGACACAGGGAACCAAAGGCAAGAGCACTCATATTTTAAAATGCTGTATGCCTTTGTTAGAACAGCTAAAATGTCAAATCCAGGTTAAATCTTCTTCTGAACTGTCCTCAGGAACATTTATCCTCTGATGCATGTAGTACACCCTCTATTTTGCAGTGGTTCTTACATAAAGGGATGAAAAGTATAATCCTTGAAAGCCAAGAGTTATTGAGCAAAGCAGAAATGGTTATCCAGCAATGCCATCAAAGACCTAGTTCCTACTGGTGCTAAACCCAGGCTTTTACAGTATCATTTCAAACTGTGTATTCACTTCATATTATTATTATTATTTAATAATCTTAATATTTTAGGACTTGATTTGTTAAATAACATGGCTAGATTCATCCAAGCTTTTTAATTTAATTTATTTTTTTTAATTTACTGCACTATCAACTACCAGGATCTTTTGATGGTTTATAGTAAGCCAAAACTCAAACAAACCACCTTACTTCTTAGCATGATATACAAATCAGTCCAGCCTAAATTGGGTTTTAGGCTATCCTTCTCTTTGATTACACGCCTCATTGAAATTTTAAGTACAGACACAGCTTGATCAGTTCACTGAGAAGTAAGCCAAGAAAAACTTGCTGGTGGAACTATGGGAATAGAGGGAAGAAGCAGGTGTTGCCTTGCAACAAGCTACAGCATTTGTCTGAATCAAATAATACTTTTCTGGACTGATAGCTGCTTGTGCATGGTCTGGTGCCATGCTTCTTTTATCTAAGCTTGTATTTAAGCCCTGGTCTGGTCACTAGGACTTCACTTTGAGCTCCTGAACAAAAAGTGGGTTATAAATCAATGAATCAATCAAACTATGACATTTTGTCCAGGCAAAGAGTGAACCTGTGGAAAAGGAGCAGAGTACTCAGCCTGTCTTCAACCTCCAGCTGAAATGGGCTGCTCAAGAGGAGATGCTCTTTGCATCCATCATTCCTCTATCTCTCTCCTGTAGACCAGTAATATTTTTTGCAATCTAATAATTTTTGTGTGCTTGTTTACAAGGCTCTTTGGCAATATAAATAAAACAGGACCATATGAGGGTGAACTGATACATAATTTCTGCTCCTTTGCCAACAATTGCCAGCCTTTCTACTGATATAGCTCCTGATTACACTGGCCAGCATATAATTTGGGACAGATCTTGCAGAGTCAGTTCTTCGTAAGTTTTAGAAGGCAGGCTCTTCAAGTCTAAAAGGTCCAAAATCATTGGCTGGGCTGAAAAAGATGGTGCAGCGTTTTTGTTTTTGTTTTTTTACTTTTTAGCTTGCCCAAGGCTACCCACAATGCAATGAGTAGTAGCTTGTTTCAGAGAAGACTTATGCTTTCTATTGCTGATAGTGCAGTGAAAACAGCAAGGCTTAATAATGGGAGATTAATTAATATTTGTTGGCTTCCCAAACCTTTATCTAATAGGCTGTGACCACCGAAGACAATTGGCAAACTCCATATTAAGGTAATATATATTGAAGGCCAATTAAAGATAATTAAATAGGGCGCGAGCATAATTTTCATCATGCAAGAGGATACTGAAATCAAATAAGGAGAAAGGAGGAAAGAGTGGTTGAAATTGATTTAATCATGCTTTGTTGTTAATCATGCTTTGCTGCTTTCAGGAATTTTGGTAGATAAGGTAAATGCAATTGCAAAATTCTAAAAATAGGACACAGTGCTGGACTTTTCTGTTGTTCTGCTGAATCTCTCTGGTTTGTTAGCAACTGAAAACTGGCGCAGTCTGGTTTGTTATTCATTGAAATATTTGAAATTGGTTTTTCAGGATGTTTGCACAACAGAGGCTCCGGTAGAATGCTTCATTGGGAAATGCAGTCAGATTGGGATAGGAAGAAGAGTGGCTTTTAAAAATAGAATGTATTTTCTCTGGTGTGAGAAATTGCTATAACAATCTGAAAAACCATCACCTTCGAAACTTTCTGTAGTACTGCATTGTAATCTATACTGAAGTAGCCTGTTCATATGAAAGAACCTTGTCTTTAACTGCAATGGGATACCTGTAATGGGACAACATTCATTTATCATCTTCAAGCCACCAAAAGCCTGTTGGCAAACCATGCTATTGGAGGGAATTGAGGGGGAGTTAGGATTAGTTGTAAAAGAAGGGGTAGAAATAGCTGGGTGACACTAACTACTAGTTACAAAGTGGTGACTTATTTGTACCAAAAAGGGGGCAATGGATTCTAAAAGAGAGAAAATGACTTGCATATAATGTCCATATGTAATTCATATGTCTAAATACGAATGTAGCATTGTTGCTATAACTTATTTAAGGGATAGACAACCTTTGCTCTAGGAATATACAGTGGTACCTCGGGATACGAACTTAATCCATTCCATGACTCTGGGCGTATCCCGAGTAGGTCGTAACCTGACGCAAATTTCCCCATAGGGTTCAATGTAAATCTGGTTAATCCATTCTGCCCTCCAAATTTGGTCGCACCCCGAAGCAAATCTTCCCATAAGGTTCAATGTAATTACTGTTAATCCGTTCTGGCGTCCGCGGACCACGCGTCAGGGGCAGGAAAATGGCCGGGCGCCAGGCGGTGTGGCGGGAAAATGGCCAGGCGCCGTGCGGCGCGGTGGGAAAATGGCCGCAGCCCACGTGTCAGGGGCGAGAAAATGGCCGTGGACCACGTGTCAGGGGCGAAAAAATGGCCGCGGACCACATGTCAGGGGTGGAAAAATGGCCGCGGACCAC